CGCAGCAAAATTTTCCAAGTCTTGACCTGTCCGTGGTAATAAAAAGGTTGGGGACCACTGTGCTAAATGACATCCAGTGTACTGTATCTACCATCACACATGCTTCTCCCTGTTTTGTAAGGGATTCTGAGGGCAATCTTAAAAAACACATCAAGAAAAAAAGACAGTGTGATACAAAAAACTACATAAAGACAACAACAAAGAAAAAATATGGAAAGGATAAAGGAGTTTGTTGAGGTCTATGTGAGAAGACACCTCTGAAATTCAGCAAAGAAAAGCTATTTATTTGAGGATTACTCTCCAAGAGCAAGTCAGACAGGAACACTGCACCACATCTAATTATTCAATTAAAGAGCCTGCCACTCAGCAAGGCAACGGATGTGAAGGTGGGGAAGGAGAGGACTCCTGCTGATTTGGTGAAGTCACAGGGCCTGTTGCTGTACCTGGCTTCCTCATTACAGCATCCATTAGCTCTCAGAGTGGAGTTGTAATTGGAGGTTTGAGAGGCATCAGGGACCACAGTGGCAGGACTGCTCATGGTCCCCGCTCTCATGAAATTATGGGTAGGTGTGCACAATGTCAGAACAATAATGTTTTTAAAGCTGTTGAACTGAATTTTAACCAAATAGCTTCTTTTGATGTGAGCTTACCTGCAGTATTTGATTTGGCTGAAACTCCTGGTTAACAACAGCAGAAAAAACACTTTCTTTTCCACCGCAGGCAGCAATAAGTTCTGGGAGTCCCTCAACAGGCCCACAGAAGCCTTCAGCATCACTCTTTCCTTTGATACCTGCCCATTTCCTGGAAGATGTTTGTATAAACAGAAAAAATTGAGTCATTGAATTAAACTGAAGAAATCTTCAATTGCAAGTTTTAGGTGTGAAACTTCCATCATGTAATGTTGGTACCAAAACTAGTTTTGATGTAGTGCTTTAAACATTGCAAAAAAGAAATGACATCAAATATTTATTAGAAGAGAGAATATGTATCTAAAAGTAGTGAGGGTCTGAAAATTGTCCATGACTTGCTTTCCTTGGAGGAGACAAGCTTCTGAGGAAAGGATTATGTTTAAATACTACAATACATTTATTACTCTTAGCTCCTCAGGGATCATGTAACAGATTTATGTGGATATAAAGAGTCTCTGGGATACACACATATTTAAATATCACTCTAAGGAGTTGCTTATTGAGAATTCTGAAACATTTGTAATCAAAATGGAATTAATAAGTTGTTGGTGTATATAATAACTGAAAAAGTGGTCTAATCAGGGGCTCTAACTAGGTTCCTGGACTTTATTCATGGAAAATTGTCAGACTTATTTTGACTCAGCGATTTACACTTCTAAGTCCTTCAAGGTCATTTAAAAATATGTAATGCTAACATATGAATCTATGTATGACATGTATGTGTTTGACTGGCAGGACATGGATGTGGGACAAAAACGAGAATAGACAGAAGGAATAGAAGTACAAAAGCGAGGAAAGAAAGTAGTGAAAAATGAAGGACAAATACAGCTAAGGAAAGAAAGAACACAAGGAAACAAGTTTTGACAAAAGGAAGAAAGAAAGAAATGAAAAAGATTGCAAAATGGAAGGAAGAAAGGGCGAATGAGAAGGATGAACTTAATGGATGGAAGCATAAAATGAATGAATGAAATAAATAAAGAAGACAAGAAAATAAGAAAGAAAGAATAGAAGGACAAATGGAGAAAAGCGGAAAAGTAGAAAAATATTGAAGGGATGTGAGGATGGAAAATATGGCAATATTTCCTGTAGTGTAGAGGAAGCATATGAGGAAAGAATACACCAAAATAAGGAAGGGTAGACGGAAGGACACATTTAGAGAATGGGTTAGAGACAAAAGTCTTGTAAACTTTGACATATTCTTTTATTTCTCATATTTTATCAGACCTGGAAAACACTGAAATTGAATTCCATGCCGTTCCAGACTATGAAGGAGCCCTGCCTATTCCAACAGAGGAATCAATCTGTTGTTCTAGACCAAGTTTCTTTAAAATGCAGGAATCTGTCAGAATCCTTCTCTATAGAGTTTTTCCTAAACCCAGTGTAACAAAAGTTTTGGTCATGTCACTGATCAAGTCGGACAACTAGAAACAGACAACCATCTTTAAAATGTCAGTTTTAAAAACTCAGATCACTCACAAATATTGTAAACTCAAGGTTTCTATAAGGCTGCATCTAAACTGTATTTTAGAAGTTATTTTATTCCAGACTTATCAAGAGGGTAATGAAAACATATGCTGTGATTTTAACATTTCAGAACCTTGCCTCCCTAACTGCATGTCTCCACATTAGACCAGGGGAAGTCTAACTTCCCCTGGAAGTTAGACTTCCAGGGGAAACACAACTTTCCCCTGGAAGTCTA